AGAAATTAGTTTATCTTGGAATCCTTGCCTGCTTGGAAGCTTAGTTGTGGGAGATTATTATGAAAAACTTGAATCAATTGATTCTTCAAGAGCCATGGAATCTCAGTTCCAATTAATTTGCTCTCTAAGTATTGGAAAACAATTAGTGATGGAAATAGTACTCTTGTCTTTTCAGTTTTCATATTGGCAAAGTTCCAAAAGGGATGCTTCTGGTTTCAGTACTTCTCTTCCACTCAACTATATGAAGCAAGCGAACCACCTGCAAACCTTCAAAACAGCCTAAACCTTCTTCTGGAACTGATATCTGCTAGAGTGATCTGGGAGCTTCTTGGTTGGGGATTCCCTGCCTGCTTATTGCTGTCGTGTCTGAAATTTTGATGGACAATGATAAGGCAGGTTTCCTACATGTCCCTTGGATGGCTTGGGCTTGTTTTGGCAACCTTGGTGGTTGTAGCTCATTCGATTTTGGTGGCTTTTGATGGATTTTGAGTATTTGGAACTTCTGGCAGTTGTTTTCTTTACCTCTTTGAATGACCCAATCCTGGTAACTGAGTGGCATTTATGAGTCTGGCTGCCTTAGGGGATTTAATTTTCTTTGTACATTCAGTCTGGTTGGCTTTTCGTAGTTTTTTGTACTGTTTTGATTGTGTGCTTTCTTGTGTTTGCCTCATATTGGCCTTGAATTGTATGATTTCTCTCTTTTATGAATACAAATTAATTTGGTTAAAAAAAAAAGGTAGAAGTTCTACATTTGCCATTATAGCTCGTGAAGTCATAATTTTATTGAAAATGACGGTTTATAAACCGCCGAAAAATATATCAAAACCGTCAGAAATTACCGCCAGCTTTGAGTGATTTTCTTATAATTAAAATAGACTTCTCACCATGTAATCTATTTAAAAAAAGTTAATAATAAATATTTTAAAAATATAGTATATTATAAAAACATAAATATTCGTAAAAACTTTAATACATTTAATATTTATCAAATTGGTTCATTATCTTAATTATTTAAATGAATTAAAAATAAATTAAAATTTTAATTTATTTACGAATTTAAGTCATTTTTATTCGAATAGATAATAATTTGAATAAAACAAACCTTCAGCTAAATGTTATAATGTGAAAAGACATCATTTTGCTTAAACAAATATAAGATAAGAATGAGAGAAATATTGACAGTCACGATTTTCACAATTTTCTAAAGAGTCCAAAAGTTCATTAATTATTGACATTCTCTTCTAATCACATTGCCCCACTAAATATATCTCTTCGCCGCTGTCACAACTTCTTCTATTGATTTATTTGTTTTTCGGGAGGACCTTGCTAGTGTACCCACAGCTATATTATCTCCACATATTTTCTCAAAAATTTCGTATTGGTGGAATGGATTACGACGATACTTCGCCAGCTTTGGATTCTCCTATTGAAAAATTAGTAAAATATAAAAAACCATGAATTTGATTTGTTTAAAATGGTAAATGAAAGTATATTAAAGATGATCTGGCCATCTAGGTGTCCTCAAAATATTTTTATTACTACTCCCCAACTTCACATCTAAATCAACCATGATGTCCGCTTGAGTATTGGCCGATGAACGTTGAGCCGCTTTGCCTTTCAAAAACCGTTTCATTTTTGCTGTACAAATTTCAAATAATACATTTTAATAGACAACGAATGACAACTATTTCTAATGAGCATGATTACCATTTGAGTAGTGAATTTTACTGTTTTTGTTCCGAGTGGAAGCTAGGTAATTCATGTTCGAGGATTCGTTGTCATTCGTTGTCAACCAACTCGATTTATCCAGTGCAAAACTAATATGATCATGAAGTAAAGATGATTGTTTACAATTTGTTTCTGGGTAAGTTCCACTACTATCCACATCTTCTTCAGGTGTCATGTTACTAACACAAAGTCGTACTATCACACCACTCTAGCAAATGAAATATCACAACACATACAATATACGCCTGTTCGAACAACTGCCGATAATCATGAAACGGCGGAAAGATAGAGAACAGGCAAATAAGGAAAATTACGGACTTATGTGAGCCTAAACGGATATACAAACAAAAAACTAGAAATGAGATAAAAATCATACCTGCTGCCGATTTGCCCGACTCACGCCGCTCGTTTCTTCTACAGGAAAATTTTGCAACTGTGCTGGATGTGCGAATGAATGGAAGTGAACAGTGGGCTTATAATAGCGAGAGAAGAGACGGGGGCGTATGGGCGAGCATGTGCGTGAGCTGTTCTGTGAAGATGAGCGAGCGAAGAGATAAGAAAACAGATGGAATCGTTCGGCCTCTTCTATCTTCTTCCTCTCCCGCGATAAATCAGGTAAATCCGCGACCCCTCCCGTGAGTAACAAGTTAAATCCGCGGAATATGGGGATTTCCGAAATACGGGATTTACCGCAAAAAGAGCTATTTTTCCGTCAACGGCGGATTTCAAATACCGTGAGATTTGGATTTGCATTTTAGGGCGTTTGGCTGGATTTCTCCCAAATCCATCCCTAAATCCCGCTAAATCCGCATACCAAACAGCCCCTTAGAGTTTTAATATTTTATAAATTTTTAAACATTTCTCTCTCTCTCTCTCTCTCTACCTCAAACTCATAAACTCTATAATAAGTGTTAGAATTCTCAACCATTAGATTAATAGATTATGTGCTTATCACAATTTCTATATAAAGGAAAAAGAAATATATATCCTCTATTGTTTTTTTAATGGTTCTCATAATATTCATTAGTTTGACATCTCTCCTCCCATAAGTTTTGGCATTGCTAAATTCAAACATTCGATCATATGTTTTTCCTACATAGTTATTTTATAGCTTTGAACAATTTATTGTCATAATTGTTATGCTTTAAGATTCTTCTAAAAAGATGTGAGATGTTCTTTGATCCGCATATTTTATAGAAATATATTATTTCATCATTTCACACTCTATATCCAATAGAATGAATAATTCTTATCGTCAAATTTATCTGTAAATTACACTTCTTCGTAGGATGTAAAATCTCAATTGATGGCAAACTCTATGCCTCTAATATTGTCATTGATCCTCATGAGTTATCCACATTAGGGGCCTCAATATTTGATACGACTCGAAAACCCAACTCGAACCAAGCCTGAAATTTCTGGGTTAGGGTCAACAAATCGACCTATTTCAAAAATTGGGTCGGGTTCGGGTTGACCTGGAAAACTGAGATTGATCCATTTTGATATGTTTGTTACCATAAAATCTTTTTTTGACACAGAAACCCAAGATTGACCCGTTTTTTATCCAAAAATCGGAGATTGATCCATTTTTAACCCAAAAACTAGCAATTTTTTGTCAGCCCCATGTCATTTGGGTCATGTCGGGTTGACCTGAAGCTGAAGCGGGTCGGGTTCGGGTCCGAAAAATGACCCGTTTGTAAAAACGGGTCGAGTTCAGGTTGACCCAAATAGTGTCGGGTGTGTTCCGGGTTTGATCTGAACCCAACCCATGACCCAAAATTGACACCCCTAATCCACATTATATAGTTATACACTATTTCACCTACCACTCCTGCCTGATCAACTTTGTCCGCTAGGATTTTAGAAGGAATCGTGATTATGGTGGTCAACCGGTCATGTTAATACTATATATCATTATAGCTAAAATATTGTGCTATTTATTCTCATTATAATTGCGCCAACTATCTTCCTGAATATTGTTGGGAAAGAGATTTAGTTATCAATCTACTACATAACATATTTCTATAATTATTCCAACTACTTATTCCTAACACCTTATTGTTAGGATTAGCTAAATTTCTCTATATTAGCATCTCATGTTGGATCATCCCCTTCCCAATAGCTTTATGAATTTTTCCTCTTTCTTCATATCTGTCCAAATTTGAATATCTTGGGATCCTCCTCTTCTTTGAAAGGCTATAGGATTTTATACTTACCCATATTTGAATGTCATGCATATAAGTTGAGTATAAATCACAGTAAATTTTATTCATCTTCCACCACTAACTAATCTTCACCATCTTCTTAATAAGTTTATATATATATATTTAAGTCAATTAAAATAAACTCATACATATATAACAAACGCAGGATTCAAACTAAAACCTCTTATTAATTAGATGGTCAAAACTTCCAACCAGTAGACTGAAAAGAGCTACATCTTACGTAGTAAGTTAACACACATTTCAGGTGTCCTAGCCCTATTTATGATTATTTAGAATTCTATTATAATCACATGTAAGCTTCATTTGGAACGGCTTTCTTACTATTCAAAATAAATTTTTAATTTTGTACTAAAAATTGCTTTAAATAGCAATAAAAAAATCATCCCAAACAAATTCTGATTCTTTTTTTTTTTTTTTTTTTTTTTTTGGATTTTTTTTTTTTTTTGAGTAATTTGAGTTTACTAACTGAAATATCATTGAGAGGTCAGTCATCTATCTCAATTTTTAACAATAATAAAATTTCAATTGTTTATATTAATCAAAATTTTATGCACCAATAATGCCTTGGAATTTATAACATATCAATTTTGTGCCCTCTGCACTGCCAGTGATATTATTAACCAAACTCCATACTCTTATATATCACAACATTATGATATTGTTGAATACAAAAACTACAATCTACTATATTACCAAAAAAAAATATTAATGTTTAGCATAAATACTCCTCGGGGTTTATGTTGACATCCCTAACTTAAGAGAAATTATTCTGTGCCAACACCAGACGGTCCGAAGATCAACCAGCCCGATACCGAGCAAAAAAGTGACACGGCGCATTCTGGTTGGTCTCCGGAAGCCGTCCGGGGTGGTCCTCAAAGACTAATTTTTCCTAATTAAATATCTTCATTAAATATGAATATCTTCACCCAAATAAGAGTTGTCTAGAATAAGGCTTCAGTTTGGGGCGGTTTTATGAATGTTTTCTAAATTAGCTAAAAAGTTATTTTAAAAAGCAGTAAAAAAATCGTCTCAAACTAAACCTAAATATCGACGAATAACAAGCTTTTTCATACTATAAAATTTCATAAAAACAAATTTCAAAACAGACTTAACAGTGTTGTATAGTTAGTATACAGGAATCAAATTTCCAAACATACATGCAATAGCTGGATATAAAGCACATCTTAATCTTTCTTTTGTTCTTTACATATACAAAATGGGCTTTATGAACCACAATGGTTAGAGTTCTCTGTTAGCTCTACATTTTCGCCAGCAGCAGCAAAGGATTTCCCACAGCCACAAGTTTTTGTTGCGTTGGGGTTCTTAAATGAAAATCCACCTCCAATTAGTGCATCACTGAAGTCTAATTGCATTCCATATACATAGAGAAGGCTCTTTGGATCACATACTGTAACAAGAGGCAATAAACACATAAAAATGCATAAAATCTTTCACAATAGATGAGTAAATTATAGCATATGATGTATGAAACAGCAGCTATGGAAGAAGATCATGAGCGGAGTTTAATTTCTTCTGTATTTTTTAGCTGTCTGCACTGAAAAGAAAGCTATTCCAGACCTCAAGAGTTTATTAAGGATGCATTTTAACCAAGGTATCAACATTTTCAGTTTTCTACTTTGCTTGAAACTAGGGGTGCAACCGAGTCAAGCCGACTTGCGAGTCGGCTCGGACCCGACTCATTAACAGGCTCGACGAGTAGAGCTCGAACATGATTTCGAGCTCGAGTTCAAACAACCCTCAGCTCGACTCGCGAGCTTGTCGAGCAGCTTGCGGAACTGCGGGCGGAAAAACAAAATTGGAGCTCTGGCGGGCAGGAAAAAGAAACTCGGAGTCCGAGCAGACCTAGACATCGGGACGGAACGGACTGCAGGACGGAACTGGTGAACGTGATCTTGGGAACTCGAGCGGACCTCGAGACGAAACTAGTGAACGCGACCAGATTTGAGATAGGCAAGAGATGCAACCTTGGGACTGAATTGTCGAACGCAACATCAGGACCTTGAGCGGACCATGGGATGAAGACTTGTAAGCTGCTCGACGAGCATCGAGGAGCTCGCCGAGCTCGAGCTTCACTTTTGAGCTCTACTCGAGTTTGAGCTCGGTATTTGACAGTCAAGCTTGACTCAAACACCATCTGACTCAAGCTCGACTGGACTAGTTTGCACCCCTACTTGCAGCTAGAAAGTGAATACATAGGGGGAAATTCATATGGCTAATTAAAAAACAATTATGATTCACCTCTATTCCTGAGATCGTGTTCACCTATTTCAAAAAACAGAAATGAGAAAAGCGCAAAGTCATGTTCTTATCACATAAAAAATACCAAAAAATCCAGCAGGATGACAAATTATGAGGGACATCTTTGCGGAGGGTCCATCCATAGAGAATGGCATAAGATACTTCAAAATAAGGACTCTTCTAAGAATATCAGAAGATAGCAATTCCAAACAGGAAAACATATTTCCTTGCAGTATCTAAACAATGGGTAGTAATATGTCAAAAGCAATAAGAAAAATGTGTTATTGCATTAAGTAACCGGAACAGAAATCTTACTGGATAAAAGATGAAGTAATTATCCAAAGACAGGGAACAGGATGACGATTTATTAGCTATGATATCGTCCTCCAAACAAAGGAAGAAGAATGTCTGGTTTTACTTTTGAACTGGTACTTTTCATGAATCTTACGCTTTGAACTATTCGCAGGTACAGCAAATTAACAAATAACATGATAACCTACTGCAGTTCTAAGTTATAGGTCATTTGATTTCAATTTAATTGATATTTTATTGAAAGGACAAAATTAAACTATATTAATCGTGAAAGTATGAAACAAAAGTTCTCATATTTTACTTTTGATACAAGCAAAAAGTTCTGATCGAAAAGCATAACCCAACAAATAATTGACGTATTTAATATGTATGCCAAAACTTCATTTGTAAATTTAGCTATTTTAACGCTTGATAATCAATTTATAGGACAAATTTCTTACGCGATAGGTAATGTCTCCAATATAGAACAGCTTACAAAACTGCATAAAACTGTCATAATTAGTACATTTTGTTGACCCCTACCAAAAAAAACGTGCGAGAAAAGGGAAAATTGGACGATTTAAGTGGCCCGCGTCGGGGTAGCGCGGCACTTGAAGGGTCAAATGACTTATGATATTCAAACAGACTGTGTCGTTGCAATTAGAGTATCGAATTAGCCTAATAGGGACCAACTCATAGTCGAATCGGGAGAAAACAATCAAAGTCGGCGACAGACACCCGAAAACGACATGCGACGCCACCCAAACGACGTTCGATCGCAAAATGGACTTCGTCGTAGTGTTCAGAACTCGACATACCCAAAATCGACTGTAATTTTGCCAAAGAAAATCGAGCAAAGAAATTGGTTAATGACTTGATCGCCCAACGACTATAATTTTAACCAAAACTAAGTGCTCTTATTAATGGCTTGATCACCCAAAGTTACAATCCTCCCATTAGATCTATTATTACTAAAATTACACTCCATATATTCAATTTTAGATCTATTCAAATTAAAGCCTTTAGACTCTAAGGTTGACCTCCATAATTCAAGTTTACTTTCAATCCCCTCTCTACTCTTATCAAAAAGAAGAATATCATCAGCGAAAAGCACACACCAGGGTACAACCTATTGCAAATGTCTAGTGAGAACACTTATGACAAAAGCAAAAATATATGGGCTTAAGGCTAATCCTTGAAGTGATCCAACTAAAATAGGAAAATACTTAGTCAAACCACCTTGTGTTTGAACACAAGTAACAACTCTTGCATACATATCCTTAAAGTTGACGTACCAACCTCTTATAAACACTAAGTCAGCATGCAAGTGAACATGACGATGCACCAACCAACATGCATGAAGAAGTTAGTAGTGAATATAGTTCTCCGGTGACCAACATCAATTTGTAAATAAACAAATCAACTTGCTTGCAAGCAACAGTAGATATATTGCAAGGATGAGGGGATTCTTTGTGAATGTGAACACACGACATATCATCTACAAACAAGGATGATGCACCTAAAACTTGTACGGACAACTACAAACCATTGTTGGAGACCATTAATGTATGCAGTGCATTATCTGCAAATAAACGCAGGAAGAGCTACAATGGATGTGAGCACTTGCTGGTAATGATAAAAGATGTGTCGTAGACGCGGCAGTGATAATCGACAACAAGCAATGAATGCTATGACACCGTTGCAATCAACCACCATTCAACATCAAGCAAGTATCTAACAAATGCATAAGATCCCGATAGGTGAAGGAAGCTGATGTGCGACGAATGTAATAATTTGCTTGAGATGGAGTATAGTTCTCATGTAATTAGTAGCATTTACATTAAAGCAAACACGTCAACATATTTGCAAGCAACGATAGTGTACAAGTGGCGAACAGGATAAATTACCCATGAACACTAAAGGTCAACATAAAATGAACATAATAAATTGCCGATGAACGTATGTGAGGAAATCAACAATGAATGCAGCTCACCCAGCAAATTGACATCAGCTCGTAAATGAACACATTAGTTTACCTACAAGTGATGATAGTAAATATGTTGCAGGTATAATGGACCCCCTGTGGATTTGGACATGCAACGTATCTTACAAGCAAATATCGAAGATCACATCAAATAAAGGACCACAACAAATACAAATACTTACAAGCCACTGTAGGAAACTCGTCACGTACACAACATGCTATCTTCAAGAAAATGCATAAGGTGTTGTGGTAAATGCAAGCATTTACAAATAATGTTGAGGAATGTTGCACTAAAAATGATTCACCAGCATACGGCGGCTAGTGATTATTGGGCATTTACTGTCGACCTACAAACTAATTCAGCAAAACTTACAGTGCACGACAGCTTACATGTAAGAAGCCACGAGCAACCCGTAGTGCTCACGGTGCACTACCAACAAACAAATCCAACAAAGCTTATAATGCACAATAACTTGCTCGCAAGAGGCAACGAGCGATGGCCGGTTAAGGCAAAATGGCATTTGGAGAGATGGCCGGTTAAGGAGCTCTTCTTCCTTAATGATTTCAATAAAGTCATTTTTCACCATGTCAATAGAGAATGTAATAAAGTAGCAGATTTTTGTGCTACTTTGTCTTTAGATAGTAGTTTTACTTTTGATAGTTTTTCTTTTGATAACATTCCGTCCTCTTTGTTGGATTTAATAAAAGAGGAATGTTACCCTTTTATCAAGTATAATTAGTTCTTTGTTTTTCCTTAATGCAAATCTGCACATTTCAAAAAAAAAAAAAGAGGCAACGAGCGACCCATACTACAATACTACAATTTACATGGAAGCAAAAGCAGGGAGTTAGTAGTAAAAACTACAGGCTATTAATAAATTGAGGTAGTAAATTTGTGATGCCAGGTTAAAAAATAATAATAATAATAATAAATTGTGACGCCAGGTTGTCACGCTGAATAGATCATTTTACCTGCAGACAATAGGTGGAAGGTTTCTGATACGTCGCATAGTGTATATGCCGGCAGAAATACAATACTGCAGGTTGACTGTCGGAGAAGATGACAACATACAATAGATGAAATGAGATAAACTACATACACGATAAATAAAGCCTAGTGGAGCGTCACGCCACCATATATGCAACACCTGTACAAGCAAAAATACAAAAAGGCACCTACAAGCTTCTAAATAGAACGTTGTGCACGTTCAAATGATGGATGCCCACATAATTGATTAGTATCAAATATTTTAAAATGCTCCCGTACATGCATTATAATAGGCATAATAATTCATGCAAACATGTCACTCGGTATCACAACAAGCATTTACATACCGACGTATTGCACAAGCATGTATTATCATTATTCAAGCATATTATGCAGGCAAATAGGCGAGGCATAGCTGCATTATAATGCATATCGCTGCCACATTAAGTCAGTGCACAAAATGCAATGTATCAATATATGCTCACATATACAAATATGACCAATATATCCATTACATTATGTACATACCACCACTATGCAAATACATCAAGCAAATGCATTATTCAAAATGCATGCAAATATCTACACCCGCATGGGCCCCGACGAGCGTGTAGTATATACACATGTGACGTCAGAGGATGCTCCGCGGGTCAAGAAATTAACCCAAGTTCGAGCCCGATCCTTCTATATGAATAGATAGGAGTCGACACGGCTCGAACTATCGAACAAACATACAATCATGGCATCGACCGAGATATTTGTTGTATTCATTTATATTAGGTTTTTAAGGTCTACTGTAAGAAAAATCCACTACTAAAGGCATAAAGCTAACAACGAACACAATCCTATGTCGGCATGTAGAAAGTCGACAAGGTTCGACCAACAA